GACAGCAGGCGGAAAAGAATGATGTAAGTTGCTTTGAGTTTTTTGTAAGAAAAAAACCAGGATATAAATCTAATTAATAAAGGTTGGACAAGTTGTGAACTACAAATATCTTCCACTCATCCATAAGCATTCAAAGCTTGATTGGCAAGCTTTGAAGGTAAGGAAAAACATTATCTGGGAATGAAAAAGTGCTTAATGGCAGAATTTTAAAATGAGATTATGGAGTATCGAAAGTTATGAGAGACAAGAGGAGATTGCTGTAGTGTTTCCCTACAAATAAACTGTTATATGAATTTAAATAAATGGTGATATTAGCTGGCAACTGACTTTGCTCTTCAAACCAAGGAAGTAATTTTGTACTTTCGCTTAGTTCCTGTCTATAAAATTACTTCTTTCATGTATTCTTTAAGCCTTCCATATTAACATCATGATGATGATGATGCAACAGCTAATTCTATAATTGATATTCTGCTTTTTTGAAATGATGCGCATATATTCGTACTAATATGTTGCCTTCTCCTTGACTTAATGATTTGTCTAAGTTAAATCCTCCCCCACCCAATAAATTCAATACATAAAATTATTGTACCATAACATTAGTTGGAAGAAAAGATTAATCTTGATCTTTTTTTGCCTGTTTGAAGCAGAAAAAGGTATATTACAGAGTTGAGATGCCTTCTTACTTTCTCTGAAACTTTCTAGAAATACCAGGGATGTTGAGCTTGGTGTTGCAGGAGGACCTAGAGCTAAAGGGTAATTTAGCTGCAACAGTCACTCCCCAGATATAAGGCAGGTTTAGGAGTTTATTCATTAAAGTCTTAGTCTTCGATGTGGTTGGAGTATGGGCTGTTGTTGATTTGTGGGTTATCATTGAATTGTTGGTACTAACAGTGATACAGGAAGGTGGAATGGTGCAACAGATTAATATGCCACTGCAGTGAAATAACGTATTTGTTTCCAACCTCTTAGGAAGGAAATGTAGGATGCTTTTGTAATGCCATCAGGCATACTCATTCACAGAATTTTGTGCATGATCTAGATGTTAGCATTTTCTGTTCATAACCATCCTGTGTCTCCACACCACCTCTGTCTTGTTTGTTGCCTCATAAAATCCATTAGGGAAAAATATGCCGTAGCTGCTCATTCCATCTGGAAGCTCTCTTGCAGCATTTTTTCTCCCACTTATCAGATGATTAATGAAAGCCAAGATTTCAACAGTGGAAATACCCTGCCATGCCTTTCTGCTTGGTTTGAACTCAGGCAGATGTCATACTAGGTGATGACATGAAAAAAGTTAACATCTGACAGCTCAGAAAAACAGACTAGGCCCACTCTTTCTTCTCTTGCAGGACACTCTTGCACTTATTTGCAGAAGGTAGAAACTGGCTAAATTTTACCATCAGAAATCAGCTTCACTTGCCTCCAAGGGACTTACCTCTCAGATGAATACTGCTGTGGTGCAGTCCTGTGCAGACTTACTTGGGAGGAAGCCCCACTGAATTCGCTGGGTGTTACTTCTAAGTCAGAATAACTGCAAGAGGAAAATTCCACATACAGAGCCTAACTTGGTGCAGCAGCTTGAAAAGGATTTGGTGTTGCAGACAGAGCCCACAGAGAGAGAAAGGCAGGTAAAGCAAGTAGCCCTCCTTTACAAGGAGAGAGAGATGGGGAGATGCTGAGAGCACAGTTGTTTCTTTTCTGACACTGGTGCTGCTGCATCCTCTCCTTTGCCATTCATTGGGGAAAGAAGGAAAACCTTGTTGTTCTTCGTGGTCTCTGTGCATCACACATGGGGTCTGTGCCTCCACAGGATCTGTTTCAGGAAGATTTCCAAGGTGGACTTGTTCTGGCAGGAATCCTTTTCCTCTTGCTCTCTGGTATATCTAGGAAAAGTTCCCACCCTTTCCACCAGTTTTCTTCTGTCTGCTGTTGTAGGTGCCTTTGGACTTTCCTCTTTCATTTCATGTTTCTAGTCTTTTACTTTGTATTTCTGCTTTCACTCAGCTTTTTACCCTAACCTTACACTTTCCACCCTCCCTTAAAAAAACGCCTTTCCATCATCCATCTCGCAACACCCATCACTTTGTTCTTTTCTTTCCTCTCCTTTCTTCCTCACTGGCTCTCAAGGTACCATTTTGGAAGTATGTTCACTGTGGGAGTCATTTCCCTCCCACAGATAGGTGCTGTTTGTACCCTTTATACCTTGGAAAGGGGCACTTCGCAGAGGCCTCTCTGCATTTCTAGGCCCTAACCAGGCAGGACCAAAAAAACAGCACTGGACTAAGCTCTGGAACTCTGACCTCCATGCCACCAGTTCAGCATGGATGGCACCAATGGACTGCCTGCCTGCCTGCCTTCTGAACTTTGCCCACATCACGCCTGCAAACCATGGCTGCAGGACGTCCTCAGCTGCCCCATCTGCCCTATCTACTCCTGGTTGCTTGGATGAGGCCTGCTGAGCCCAAAAGCTGGCCAAGAAGGCAAAACAGCAGTTTTGGGGAAAGCCAAACATAAGAAGTAGCCTAGGACACCATTCCACACCAGCACTGAGAATGCCTGCACCAGGACTGAAGCCAACACCACCATGGCCCACTCCTACAGTGGAACCAGTCCTGGAATAGTTGATCTTAGAGGGTGAGATGTGGGAATCACCACCCTGCACTCCAACACACCCATCCTATGTAGTCTTCCTGGCTAAGACTCTGTTCCTCACCATAACAGAGGCTGCTACTTCTGTGTCATTGCCTTGCCAAATTGCTGCCCATCTCTGAGCAGATCCTTTGGATGGAGTGGAGCTACAACAGCATGAGGAGGAGGCAACCGATCCAGTTATCTGAACAGAAAACACTGTGCTGACACTGATAATCACTCCTGTCCACTCTCCTCAACTGCATGAAGGAACTGTGGAAGACATTGGCATAACCGCAGCCAGTGTCCAAATGCTTGGAAGGGCATGTACCGAGTCCAGGAGCAGGAGATCCCATTCTTGCTGCAACATCCCTGGTTGAATGCAGTTATCATGGCATCAACACAGGGTCATTAACAGTGGGAGCATTATATACTGGTGGACAAGTAGAGGCACCACCTGGAGTCCTTGGCAAGGCAGATCTATGTGTTGGAGGCATTGGGCCTTCATATTTATAATTATGAGGCCACCATGGCCCACTGCCAACTGTTTCTCTGCGAGAAGATAGGGTCTTAAGTGCTACACTTCCCAGAGGAATAACAGGACTTGACCTGGTTGTTTTAATCTCCCCATCTCTCCAGGCAGCAAATCAACACAACCCATCACCATGTCAACTGAGACTCAAGCTCCTTTGTTGACACAGGGGTGATCCAGTGCCGTGAAAGGTAGCCTTCCTTGTGGCTAGCACCTCAACTAGATGAGCTGGTGATCTGTGCACCTTGTGCATCAATCAACCCTTTCTCACTTTCCACAAGGACAGGACAGTCCTTTGCCTGGATTCTTGGTTTCTCCCTAAGGTGGCTTCACTGTTTCACCTGAACCAGGACATTGTTCTGTTGACCTTCTTCCCAACACTGTTGAACCTGATGGAATCTGCCCTTCATGCTCTGGATGTTTGCAGGGCTCTGGCATTCTATCAGTGCTGTGCTGAGTTCTTCCACCCATCCCAGTGACTGTTTGTTTGTTACAGCAAAAGATCCAAGTACACTGGTACCTCGGTTCACAAACTTAATTCGTTCCATGATTCTGGTCGAGAATCGAATTGGTCGCGAACTGAATCAAATTTCCCCATAAGGTTCAATGGAAATAATATTACATTGAACCTTATGTAATATTTTTAAACCACAAAAATATGAAACAAAGTACAGTACAGTACAGTATGAAGAGAGAGAACACTAACCTTGCTTGAGGTGACTTCTGGTGTGGAGGACAGGAAGGTGGGTGGGGAGGAGGCTATGGTTTGGAGGGAGAGTGTGTGACCGCATTCTCGACTAGAGGAAGCCGTGACTATGTGTCAGAGTGGGGAAGACGGCCGCGATCATGTTTGTCACCTGATGCGGAGTTCGCGAACAGAAGCAAAATTTTGCCAAACTTTCTATTTGCGAACCAAATTGTTCATGAACAGAAATGTTCGTGAACTGAGGTATTACAGTACAAACCTGTTAGCTCCTAATGTCTCACGCACTGGTTCGTCAAACCCATCATGCTTTCCTACCAGCTGGCAAGACTACAGCTCCCTGAGTGGCCCAGAGCACATTTTACAAGAACAATGGCAACCTGTATGGCACTGTATGTGGGCATCCCTCTGCAGGACCTCTGCGTGGTGGCAGTGTGGTCCGCTGCATCAGCATTTGTTCAGGACTACTGGCTCAATGTCTGCCTCAGGCAAGGTTCCTTTGTTGTATATATTACATTTCCATGTCTGCCAGTAGCTGGATCCTGATTGCATGGTACACAACAGTTAAAAACAGAAAATACAATAAGAAAAAATACCACACAAAGGTTTAAACAAAATTAAAACACAAGGATTAAAAAAAAACCAAAATGAAACCCAGTAGCAGTGCAAAGATAGGAACTATAGTTACAGACTTAATAGAAACTGGGCAACTAAAATGCCTGGGAAAAGAAGATGGTCTTCACTGGATACCAAAAGGAGCTCTGTGTAGGTAGTAGGTGAGCCTCTTTGGGAAGCTCATTTCACAGTCAGGATGCCACCAGAGAAGTGGCCCACTTTATAGTAGCCAGCTGCCTAATTTCTTTTTGCAGGGTCTCCTGGAGAAGGACAGTTGAAGGCCATCTTAGGGTTTGGGATGATAGGGAAGGGAGTAACCTGGGACCATTGCAGATGGGAAAGTAGTGACATAATATTAACATGTTGGTCAGTCCTGATAAACAAAATCATTTCCTTATTTTGGGCTAACTGAAGTTTCCAGGTAGTTTTCAAAGGAAGCTTCATCTCTAGTTTGAATGTGTTATTATAATAAATGACATGCATATTTTCTTAAAATTTACTGATAATTTATTTGTTCACCAGGGCTACACATCATTTTGGAATGACTGCATTTCCTCTGGTCTGCGTGGCTGCATGTTAATTGAATTGGCACTGAGGGGGCGTCTTCAGCTTGAGGCATTCGGAATGAGACGCAAAAGTCTTCTAACAAGAAAGGTAGGAGGGGGAGGATAAAGCTGTGTATGACTTTTTAGTTGCATTCCGTATACTTCTATAAATACTGATTTGGAGATATTATAGTATTTTGCAAATTCTTTGCAAAATTACATTCTTATTTCAGCATTTGTGTAGTCTGAGTAAATCTAATCAGTAATTTAAGTTCCTTAAGCCATGTACCAAATATTAAATATGCGTGCAGTCTTGTAAAAATTTAATGCTTATGCAATTTGCTGGATCCAAGGCTTAGGTACAGTATAAATCTGTCTGTGTTCCTCTTTGTGGTTGATTTTGTTGGCAATATATGAAGGTAAGTTTGTGTTTTTAAATAGTTCTTGGGAACAAAAATGCCTCACTTTCCACCTTAAACTTGGTTACATGGGCAGTCTGCCCTGTCAATATTATCTTTTGTTCCCTGTTTAAAAAGCAACTTTGAAAGTTTGCACACTGTCCTCCTGTTCAGTGTTGAGCAGAGGGTTATTTTATGTACAGCTGCGTTTACTTAGGATGATTAGGACAAAATTTGATTAGGACAAAATGATTATCCACACTGGTTAGATTTCTCCACAAAACTTTCAAGGTTCTTTGGTTTGTCAGAGATGTAGGAATGTTGCTTGAAATACCAATAATAGTTGGCATGATTTTTTCTAAAAGTTGCTTTTAAGGAAAGTGTAAAAGATGTATTTAGGAAATTAATCTGGGCAAGCACATTATAGTTTAAGGTATACTTTCAAATTAGGCTCCAGCTGGATGGAACCTATGCATAGTGGGTGAGCAAGATCCCTATCTCTGGGTCTATCAGTGAGGTCTGTGTCTTTGATATATGTTTTGTGAAGTATTATCCATGAAGAGCCCAGTATATGCATATTCCGAATTCACAATTATTCCCGAGGTTTTCAAAGGTCCATGATCAATGAAATGAGCCTTGTGATCATACCCAACAGTTGTTGGTTCTGTTGCATCCAGTTGATGGATGGCTGAAGGCCAGGTACCCAATGTTGCAATGCAATCCTGTCTTTAGTCATATATGCTCTATCCTGCTAGAGCTCTGCTGAGCCTCCCTTTGGATATTCTGTTCCGCCCATGCAGCTTCAGTGGCAAGGGTAGTTTCAAAATTTTGAAATCTGGGTAATTAACTGAAAATTAGCTGGAAGTTTAGGCTAACATTAAACTGTAATATCTAGTCAAGGACAGAAACGTGTAGGCATGTGGAATACTTTTTTTTACACTGTGTCCTCCAGGTAGAGTCAGACAGTGTAGGCAACAGGAAAAACAGCACCTTTTTATGAGCTGTACAACTGGGAGAGTCAGTATGGTCTGGTAAAGGGAGTATTAGACTGGGGACCTGGGATCCCTGGGTGCTAGCCATGGAGCTTGTTATGTGACTTAAGGCCAGTGACAGGATTGTTGTTTGTGAAAATACAGTGGACAGAAGGAAATTCTTGTAAACTGCCTTGGATTCCTTGCAAGAGGAAGAAAGTTGGTGTATAAATGTCATGTAATAGTTGTAAAAATAATAATGCAACTATTCCATTTGCTTAAAAGTTCCCTTACTAACAGCCATACTATTCAAGAAATGCCACACAAGAGATAGAACCAGGATGGGTAATTTAAATTGTGTGCAGTACCAGTTATTTACACTGCTTGCACACACAACCTTTTTAGGCTTCTTCCAGCCCAGTATTCATGAATGTAACCACATACAAAGATGGTTTTATCATTTTACTTGAAAGGAGAAGTGAGGCAGGAAAGTTGCTTTACCATGTTCACCCAGTTCTTCTCACCCAGATTTAATTGACCATTTCTCCTGTCTCCTATACTTCATCCTATATCTTATATCTTAATCCTGGAATGCATGGAATCATCTTAATCCTTGTTTTGTTAGAGGATTACAGTTTTCATCCCATGTAGGTATTGAAGGAATTTTCCATAATACTAAAATATATAGAATGTAATGAAATGAGTCATCAGGAAGAAAGGACACACAAGAAAATTGTATGTTATACTTTAAAAGTAGTTCTGATATCATAGAGGGTTGGATCCAGACTTCATATTCTGTAAATGGAATGCCAGGGGAGGCATTTTGATGCAGTGGAGGAATCCTGTTGCTGGAAGGGATGGAAGAACTTGTTTACTCTGCAGCTGCTTGCATCTCCAGAAATCTTTTCTGGACAGGCCCCCAAAGCCAGAGCAGATTTCCAGAGCAGATTTTCAGAAGGGGAAAATGGCTTCAGAAGAGAGGGGGGCAATTAGAAAAAGCTGCTTCCTCCTCCTCCCTGTAGGAGTGAAGTTTGGATCCAGTCTGCTGATCTGAAGTTTAAGCTAATTAGCTGAGTTGTTCATGCATAGTAACAAAGTGCACATTAACATATCCTGGTGGTTAAGTCTTGATTATTCGTACAAATAAAAAAAATGCTCTATTTCTGATGCACAGCAAACCGGTAATATGCTCCAGATTTATTAAAAACTCGTACTGCAAGGGTGTGTATTCAGTGTTGTATCCTTCATAGTAACAAAGCATGTTACTTTGTATTGGACTATATTGGACTGAACCCATCTTTTATATCCTGTGTTCCTGCTTTGCCATATTCATCCTCTGTTTCAAATTAGAGAACATTTAAAGTATAACATTTCCTTGATGTTGTGAAGAACTTAATAATATACCTCAGCAAGCCCTTACTACTAGAACCAGTTACAGAGCCACTGAAGTTCCATAAAGTAGAATTAACAGATCTAGAGAATTAACTGTGCACCCCCTCTTTCTCTGTGCTTCAGTTTATTTGACATTGTTTTAAACAATTAGAACCATTGCTTTCATTTGAGATTCTGTAGAATATATTGGGTGTACTGGGCACATGATCAAAATGTGTCCATCATTGCAAAATTCCAGGTGATACGATGGGTCTTTAACCTTATCTTCTATTCTGATGATTTTGTAAATTCAGTGTTTTGGCTTTTGTTGTTGCTGGTCTCCATAATAAAAACAAATATTCTTTCAAATGAATTGATTTTTTTCACATTAAAGGAGTTATTTCTTCATTAAAAAGAATTCTCAGATATTTAGTATGAGCTTCATTGAAAAAATCACTTTAATAAAATATGCCAATTATTTCCTGTGGTTACAAAGCATATCTTTAGGCATATATTATTGTTTATTCAGGGTTTATGTTTATTAAGTATGAAATACTGGGAACAGAAGAGACTCCATGCAAATCTGTGTACCTTCCAGTATGCCTATTTGCAAGATCCAGTAAGTGTACAAAAATTGATATGGTAACCAAGCTAGAATACATAGAATCCAGGATTATATTTAAAATAATATGGTGATCCTGGGCCCCCCAGTGTGGGACCTGCAAACATTCTGGCTGTGGACACCTCATATGGAACCAATAAATGGTTCACTGATGTGGTGCCCAGAGCCAACTGAAAATTTTTAATTTTTAAAAACCTTCCTCCATTAATATACATACATAGATTTGCACAAAATCCATACAGCTTTCTAGCAACTATACATAGGCTTCAACAAAAGCGTTCTAAATAACAAGTATCCATTTGAAGTTGGCATTTGTATACTACTTGTTCATACATGAAAAGCACTGTAAGGTCCTCAGTCCGTTGCATTATAAGAGATGAGTGTTTATTTTGCGATATTGTAACCACAAGTCTTTTGGCTGTCACAAGTATGCAGAGAATCCATGAAGCAGGTAAATAATTTGAAAGCAGATGCCTATCAGTAAATATTAACGACTTTTTCGGTGCAAAATGCTCTGTGTCATAACCTTTTTTTCCAAAAGAAGCAACTACTGGACATTGCCAAAATATATATTTAAAAGAAGCATGAATTGTACTGTACCACCAGCAATTATTTGAATTATACCATCCCTTATTAAAGAGTTGTTTCATTGTCCAAGAGAGATGAAACAAAAGGGTGGGGTTTTTTGCTGAATAAGGTGCAACGCAAGATACATAGATGCAGCAGGTAGACACCAAATGCCATGTCCAAATGATTGGACTTCTGTATTGGTGCCCATTGCACTGATGCAGTTTTGGACTGGATTTCAGACACCCTGACTGACAGTATGTGTGTCAACAGTGGGAAGACTGAGTGGGGAGGGTGGAAACCATAGCCAAGTAGAACCACTTGATTGCCTGTCAGGTAGGTCATGGTAAAACACAAACTAGGGTAACTGCACAAGTTGCTTGTTGTGTTATGGGCTGAGGATTGAATTACTTAAGTTCTGTACCTGCCAAGGAACCAGTCTTGTTTTCTAGGGATGGAGATGATTCTAGTATGATTCCAAACTAGATTTTATAATTTCAAAAAAATGTGAATCAGCAGTGGTTTGTTTTTCCCCCCAGCATTCTCTTGGGATGGACCCAGGTGCAACTTAAAACCATTTTAGTACCTGGTAGAGCCTAACTGGAGTGTCTGCAGCCTGTTCTGGCTTTTCATCTTAATATCTGTAGCTTCTGCATCAGCCATTTCCCTTCCCTTCCAGTTTTGCTCTATTTACTGTCTTGCCTGATGAAGAGTTCTGGAGAACACAAAAGCTTCCACAGTATTTTTTAACTTTTGAATTGGCACAATAACTTTATTATACTACTGTGCATTTGAGGGGGGGGGGCTTTAAAACACACACACCTGCAGTTCATTTGGTAGGCTTGACCGTGTCAGTGTTAAATAATTAAGACACTGGTCAAGGAAGAGGCACTATCCATTGAGCTTAGAGTTGTAAAAAGTATCTGCAATATGTTGAGGGCATACTTGTGCTATCCTTGATGTTTAACAAATTTGGTGTCAGAGTGAACGCTTGTGTTTCTCATCAGGTGATCTGCAAATCAGATGCTCCTACAGGGGATGTTCTACTTGACGAAGCTCTGAAGCACATTAAGGAAACACAGCCTCCTGAAACAGTGCAGAACTGGATAGAGCTGCTTAGTGGTAAGAGACATCCATATAATGCTTTTTAAATGCTTAAACTATTTTTGGGCTGCAGTACATCACTGGTTTTTGAGGAGTAAATGCTCAAGCTTTAAGTTTGGTATGTTCCTGTTGAAGGGATGTCAGTGGTCTAACTGTGCTGAAGCAACTTTAGATGCTATGACAGTTTCATTTCAACTTTGGCACTCAGTCAAGTAAATTTGACGGGCTTACGAAGTCACTAAAGCTCTCTACCAAGTGATGCGCTCAGTAAACAACATACATTGCAATGTGTGTGAACATGGGTGTGGTTGAGGGGGTGGGGCGGACTGTCTGGATGTATCTGTTATATTTCTGCATACTTGCAGTGGCTTGTTCCAAATGTTGTTTAGGTATAATTGGAAGTGACTGTACCCTTCACTCCCTTGGTCCAGCTCACAGACTTGGCTTGAGCTTCTCAAATTCCTTCCACTCGTGGTTGGAAGAGCTCCTGTAATTCCTGGTCTGCTACCATCTTGAAAATGTGCAGTTTTGCTCTTCCAAGCTCTCTGCTTCTTTATGAATGCTGACTAATTCTTGAGGCAGCAACCTGTGTTTCATTGCTTGAGGTGCGTATGAAGGATGCGCGAAGGGATGATGCGGGTATTTCCATTCACATTCTGGCATGCCATGGAGAATGGGATGCCATTGACACAAATGAGCATATAGTGCATTGTATTCTTTTCCAGAAGGCAAGATGAGGATGAGTAATTCTTAATTAGCCTATTCCAGCACCCTTTATGCATGTCAAAGCCAAGTTTTGAACAGTTCCATGTAATCCTTAACTCTCCTGAGCTGCATCACTCATTCTTAGGTATGTGATGTCATATTGTGGCACCTATTTGAAATGAACCAATAGCCACTGTGATGGATATTCAGAAAACCTATTACTGCTTGCATTAAGGGGGAAAGCAAGTGGTTTTATTGAGGAATAAGCAGATGGGAACTCATGTGGTAATAACTGTCTTAAAAGAAAACATGGTGTTCTTGACTAAGAAGGGTTCTTTGCAAATGTACTCATGCTACAGTACATGTTTCCATAACCGAGGGTAAGGTTAGTACTTTGTGTTTTGGGTCTCTCCACATCATAGAGAAGGAAGGAGTTACTTAGTTATAATTTCCAACTGTGTTCCACATTTCTTGAAAAGCAAAACTTTCCCATCTTTGTAAAAAAAAATTTGTCCAACAGCATGTGTGATTACCAGTTGAATGAGAAGCAGAGAAAAATTCTGATCATTTTTATTCACTGTATGAATTTAGAAAGCACAGTTTAGACAAATGACAATGAGAAACTCCTATCTTCCATTTCTTCTCCATAACTCAGTGCATGTACACCATCCATTTTTATTTTCCTTTCTCCTTCCTTTGCTTATCAAGATTCCACTCCCTTTGTTAAATGTCTTACATATACAGCATGACTTACTCAGAAGTTAGTCCTAGTGAAATTACTGGAACTTCTTCCATAACAAGTTTAGGATTACATCCTAAAGCTCAGCAACATGTGGCTGTGTTCCTTCCTGCCTTTACGGGGCAGGAATGGGGATGAAGGATACAAGAAGACAACGACAGAAACCTGGAGCTTTCAAGGTAGTGAGGTATGTTCAGTGTTTTCAAGATAATCTTGTTCTGTGAGTTCATTTCTTAGACTAAGTATTTTTTAAGAATAGTTGGATTGCATAGTTGCTCAAAATGAACTAAGCATTGATAACATCAGGCTCCTGACTGAAGTCCATCAGCAGACTGTGTTTCCTGCCTTCTTAGCCCTATCAGCTTTAAAATGTGGATAACAGAGTTCTACAGAACAGGCTAACACAGATTACTGTAAGAATTATGTTGAGGTGCTTTGAACACTTGAGGAAAGCCTGTTAAAACACTATTAATGTGTGTGTATGTGTTGCATGATTCTGCTTCCAAAGTTAGGAGTTTAGATGCTATGAGTGGGAGAGAAGCAGAAAGAAAGATGGTCATTTGTATGTGGAAATCAAGGAGCTAAGGAAATTGTTTGGAAACATGTGTTCTGCAAAAGAGACAGGGAATTGGATGAAGCATTCCAGTCCCAAACCTGACTATTGGCAACCATTCATGGTTATTTAGTATATGTGACACCACACAGTTCCAAATGTTTCTCTTGATGCATTCTGCTTTTAATTTTAAAAACTGTAATTCCGAGGTTACAGAGTTTTGCACTTCATTTCCACACATTTGCGATATATAAATCCATCAAATATTCATGTATCTTTCTGTGTGGTAAACACCCAAAACATAATAAGGTAAGTATTTCTGTGGGTAGAGTTGTCAGTCTAGTACTTATTGAAAAAATAGGTCAGTGTCTGGGGTGCAACATTTTTGACCACTGATTGGGAAATCACATGATTGAAAACATGTGCACACACTTAAAGAACTTACAGGACACTGTAAGTCCTATATAGCATTTATAGGATGCTATGTTGGGAAAAAGAGCTTGACTAGTGGTCCAGAATCATACTGATTTTCCTTGGGCAGAATTTTTAAAAATTGATTTTATGGAGGAGCATTGAGTCATATGAGGACCTACTTTACCCTGGCACTGTATAGCTGTTCAGAGATTTAACACCTCAGTAAGAGGTACACTTAAGAAATCTTCAGTTGCATGTTGCTTTCCCTAGCATACAAAGTTCACTGAGGTTGGAAAGAACTGAAGGCTGTTTTCATTTTTCAGAGCTCAGCCATGTTCTGACTAGATTTGACCTTGTTGTACCAGCATTCTCAGAAGATTTCAGTCTTGGGATGGGACTGGCAGCAGGGCAATAACTTTTTTCAAAACAGTAGGATGCTTTTGCAGGACTCTGGCTAAATATGTTACGTCTCAAAACAAAGTAACATATTTAAGAAAATAAACTGATTACTTTATTCACCATTACTTCTGAATAACATAAGATGATGAGTTCTACAGAATATTCCTGCAAGCCCCAAAGAAAACAGAAACGATCACTTGTTCAGAGTTCCTTGTAGTTAGAAGGTTTGGTCACAAGGTGTCACCATGCTACTGAAGAAAGCCAAACTGCTTTTAAAATTCCAGTTAAATGTTTAAAGTACTTTTGCTGGAGCTGGTTGTTTCCTCCTTAATTGCATGTCCTGGGACTATGCCATAAAATCTTAGAGTGTAAACCTGTGGATTTGTTTGTTTGTTTGTTATATTTCTGCATTAAATAGCCAAAGGTCTCTGGGTGGATCACAACAATTAAAACATAAGGACAAATGCTATTTTGTGCTGCATTAACAGAACCGTCACTTCCAAAACATCTGAAGTACTAGTTCCACTATACTTAGCACTAGTCAGACATTTTGTGGAGTACTGTGTCCAGTTTAGGGCACCTAAGTTTTTAAAAGATGCAGAAAAGCTAGAAAGGGTACAGAGGGGGGCAACAAAGAGGATTCATGGACTGGAGGCAAAGCCGTGTGTAAAAAGATTGAGAGAATTTGGCATGTTCATCCTCAGGAAGAGAAAACTGAGGGGAGATAGCACTCTATAAGTGATTCAAAGGCTATCACGAAGAGGAAAGACAAGATCTCCCATTCATTCCAGGGTGCAAGACACAGAATAACAGACTTAAGTTAAAAGAAACCGGATTTAGACTAGATACCAGGAAGAATTTCCTGACTGTCAGAGCAATACATCAATGAAACCTATTACCTGGGGAAGTTGTGGGCTCTCCCTTGCTGGAGACATTCAGAAAGTGTTTGGACAGTCATCTAAATGGGATGGTATAACTTAGTGTCCTGAAATAGCAGGGGTTTGGACCTGATGGTGTTCTGGCCCCTTCCAATTCTACTGTGATTCTATGATAACCGTAAAACACAACATAAAATGAAATGTGTAAATGAATGTGAAAAATGAACGTGTAAAACTGCAGTATAAAATAGAATTAAAAGCCACAGTAAAACTTAACAGTAATGCTAAAATTTAAAACACAGTAAAAAATTAAAAGAGAGACTGAAATAGTAAACATGAAATGATGCTGTGTGTTTCCTTACAGCACCCAGTGTAATTTAAACATTTTATAAATAACATTTCATTAATGAGACAGTAATTGGCTAGAAGCTTTTAACAGCTGAATCATTTTGTAGCACATGTATGTATTATTTCATGATGGAAATTAGATATGCACAGACTAAACTTACGGTGTAATTGCTAACTCTGAATAAGAAGGGCGGTCTGTTTTCCTCTGAATCTAGCAAGTGTATTGAATAAGAGGAGGGTGCTACTTTGCCTTTTGATTTATTATTGGTTTTGTTAAACTGGCAAGTGTCATGTCACACCCATCTCCTGCAGCATTTATTAATAGCACAGCTATTACACATAGTAAGCCAACACCAAGGAAACTGGGTACACTGTGTAGAAATTTTCCTTTAACACTGGAAGTGGTATTGGGCTTGTCATACTAAAGTTATGACACAAAAGTTGCATTTCACCTTCTCAGCTGGGATACTTTTCAGATTTATTTGTGTGGAGATTCCAGGAGCCACACTCTATGTTATCTAAGTCTGCAGGGATGAAATTTCTCAGAGTATCACTGGCAAGTTGCTCTGCCTAAATCGGAGGTGTTGAACTACAGACCAAAGCTGGTGTGCATAGCATCCCAATCAGGCCCTCCAGTATTCCCGAGAAGGCTGTGCCCCTTTCCCTTGACCACTGTTTGTTTCATTTCTCTCCTTTCATCCCTCCTTTCTAGAAGGATGGAGTTTCTGCTAAGGCCCAGTTCTAAGCAATATGTGCTTTATGTCCAAAATGCTGTGCCACAAGCATGCTCCTATAATTAGTTGGGTTATGGTATGTCTTTTTTGCTATCACTCTGTCTTTCTCTGGTATGCAATGCTGCTACCAGGAATTTAATTCCAATCTGATTAATTAACTACCCCCACAGTACTGTGCCTAAACTGTAAGGTTCCTTTGTTGGACTATATGATCCTGAGGTTGAGACACTGATAATCAAACAGCTCTAAGTTAAAAGTAAAAAATTAAAACTTTATTTATACAACAAGTGTATTGGTTTCAAGATGTCATGTAACTCATTTTCTTAGTGAATAAAACAGTGTATAACAATTTCTGGCTGAGGTATCTCACTCTTTCCCTTCACAATTACTCCTGGCTCTTAAATCATCCTCTTTCTTGTGAATGTTCTCTGACCAGCCTTTATTCTATTTATTTCAGTTCAGTTTTTCCCTTCTTGCTCATGTTTTTGTCAGCTTCTGTCTCACACATTCTTATAATACTTAGCAATATTAGGTTTTGACTTTCCCAGGTTGCTAACATGTCCTCTAAGTACTCTTCTTCCTTCCTGTTCCTTATAAAACCTAAATGCCTTCCAAGCACTCTGTAGGAATTTAAAGCGAAGGCTGCCTCTTCAGAATTTGCAGACTGGTGACAGACCACCACTCTGACTGTTAACTGCTGACGGATTGATTTTTCTGCCTTGTCTCTCTGATGCTTCCAAACCCTGCCTACACACACTCAGTCACCAACCAATCACCTAATTCACTCATCCCCATCTTGCCCTTCTGAAAATTAACATTTAAAGGAACACATAGGTAACACTTTAAATCAGTCTTTCCCAACCCGTGTGCCTTATAGACTTGTTTGGACTGCAACACTTAGAATTCCCAATCACTTCAGCCCTGCTGGATAGGAATTCTGGTAGTTGTGGTCCAGATGCCTCTGAAGGTCACAAGGTTGGGGAAGGCTGCTAGGTTGTTTTTTCCCCCCTTGCTCTTTTTGCTTTTTGGTTCGGAAACCATTAGAATACAGCACATGAGAGCTTTTCTGAAATTGAATTTGTAATTGGTGTATTTGATCATTAAGTCATTCTTCCTTCTTTCATTCAACATTCATGTTCAAATTAATACTATATCATTGCCTAGCATTCTGTATAATGCCTGCTGTTCTGTGTTTTTCCTGTGCTAACAGAGTATTAACTAAACATTCAGGAGGTTGTTTTGTTTGCCTTTGTTTTTTCAGGTGAGACATGGAATCCATTAAAATTGCACTACCAGTTAAGGAACGTACGTGAACGATTAGCCAAAAACCTAGTGGAAAAGGGGGTTTTGACTACGGAGAAACAGAACTTTCTCCTTTTTGATATGACCACGCATCCTCTCACCAACAACAACATTAAGCAGCGCCTCATCAAGAAAGTTCAAGAGGCTGTTCTTGACAGATGGGTAAATGATCCCCACCGAATGGACAAGCGTTTGTTGGCTCTCATTTATTTAGCCCATGCTTCAGATGTCCTTGAGAACGCTTTTGCTCCCCTTTTCGATGAGCAGTATGACCTAGCCACAAAGAGGGTGCGGCAGCTCCTGGATTTAGATCCTGAAGTTGAATGTATGAAGGCCAATACAAATGAGGTTCTGTGGGCTGTAGTAGCAGCCTTCACAAAATAACTGTAATCAGACTGCTCAAGTGTTCTTTCTCCCCATTTCATGTAAATCAGTTTATCCTCTATTGATGATTCATGTTTTCTGTCATCTCTCTTCATATGGTGAAAATCAGCTCTTGTTCATGGGAATGGTAGGTGGCGTGTTCTGTTTTCTTGTATGTGTCTGCACGCGCACTACTACAGGATTCTGCCGGTACAAGAGATCTTCCTGTGCTTAAACATATTCAGCTGTCACACTGGCATTCTATTCTGTATCAGATTTAAGTTATTTCCTTTGGTTTGTATTGTACTCCCTTTTCTTCCATTGGAACGGTTTCCTGCAGAAGACACCTCCTAGAAGGGAAACGAGTACCTGGTTTCCAGCTGATTCAGCCATATGACCTGCTTCAGCAGTGCACCTGAGGTCAAAATCAGAAAGACATCTTGAAATCACTTAAGCTGATAATCCACAGGTCTTGGAGTACAGTTTTAATGGGCACTATTAAATCGTTCCGGCTTGTATAAGAATCTCACACAGAACCGACGGAAATGGAGTAAGGATTAGTGCAAAAACAATGCCTGATGACAGATTTGTTCCTTCTTTCTTATACATTCATCTGAAAGTGCTCAAACAATGTTAAAAATAGGAGTATCTTCACATTGGCTCAATAAATAGTTCAGCCATCTCATGCATTTTGCTAGTCATGCAAATCTATGTTTACTTTATGTTTGTTTAACTAGCTTTGAATCCACAGGCTAATACAGAAAGGTCCAGTTGTTTCACAAAGCTGTGATGGGATACATTCCAGTATAGTCTGTATTTACTAAGAACTGTATATTAACACACAAGCACATTTTAGTAATTTTCCAAATTTGAATCGGATTTACACCCAGCGATTGGTTATCTACTTTCAGCCATTGCCTACTGGTGAGAAGACAGGCCTCCTATAAGAGTGTGCGTGTGTGTCTATGAGACATCTTTCTTTCTAGTGTCTCAAGTTTGTGCCATCCTGGTACGATCTGCCTATGCATTGCCTTTACAACATTTGTTCTATAACGCGACCACTTTTTTTTCTTTTTCTTTTTGGAAGAGGCTTGTGACCAGTACTGCTTTTGGGTGCAGTTTTCAATTTTTGTTCATACACAAGTTACTATTGTGTCTCATGTCATTAATCTACTTAACACTTAAAAAATCAGTTGTCAATCTTAGCAAGTGTTGCATGTAAATTGTTAGCAGGTGATGATTACAGTTCAACCAATTAAGATTTCTGTAGTAGGGAGCTCTACTATGTTTTAATTTTTATATACAATTATGCTGATTAGCACATTATTGTAAAATATATAAACTGGCTTTTTAAAGTTTATTACTTCTTTACCATTGCCTGTTCTAGCTCCATTTACAATGTAAATATTATGCATTGAACAAAAGAAAGACTTTTTTCTTTTTTCTTTTTCTTTCTTTTTTGTTTCAAATAACAGAACACACTAATAGTGGGGCAAGTGTTGAGAAACTTTTGGTTTAAGATTGAAAGCAGAAAATGCTAAATGACGTATATAACTGTAGTTGAAAGTTAAAGGGATCCCCAACTGTATACTAGCTTTTTACCTACAGTAAATAAACTATGATCTTGAAAGTGCCTGAAACAGAGCAAGCATGTAATTTTGTACTTTGTGTTCCGAATCTAAAAAGCACCATGATTAATGGCATAAAGGCAAATTCTACATGAGGCCTAATTATCTCATTATTGGGAAGGTCTGCTTGGATAAACTATTTCAACTGAAAACTGTGGACCTTTTTAAGGAATTGTTTCCCCTTCATAACTGATGCGTTAGGTCACCCTATCTAGGATTTGCTTTAGCTCTCCTCTTAAATGTGTGTATCCCAGGTTTGAGATACTCTTAACTTAAATGCATTATATGTATATTTGATATGGAGTCACCTCTGTCCAAAACTAGACTCACAGTGTTATTTAGAACTTCAAGCTCCCATCTGGGATAAGTTTTAGAGGGACTTCCTTTGGACTAACTAGGATTTAAATACTGATTTAGACAATGAAAATTCATGAAAATTAATCATAATAGCTAAACAAAACCATGATTCTGTTCCAGTCATACAGGCATAACATTATTTAGACATTTCCCTTTTCCCATGCCTCTCCTGAAAAACTCTAAATGATATCCCAAACAATGCCCTCCAAGGCCAGATCAGCATTCCAAAAAAAGCTTTGGTTGTTTTGACTGGCTATAATAGCAAACCGTAATTTGCCCAAACAGTGGTTTGCAAAACAGCTCCAATCAGTAGGTTCAGATCCTGGTTTGGCAGCAAGTTATGACTTAGTAGACTTTATACGAAACAATGGTTTGCCATTACACAGCTGTAGTCATGGGACAAAAATGAGCTGCATGAAATACTGACAAAGTTGCCCAAAGTTGTCTGGAAGCACTTTTTTGTTCCTTCAAATCTTGTACCGCATAGTAGTCATGCTGTTCATTTTTTAAATCTTACCTTCAGAGTACAAAACCGATTTCTCTCACAATTGCAAACATCCGAGAAAAGCATTAAGTTTCATATCCGATACAAAATTCTGGGATTCATGATGTAATAACAGCCATGCAATAGCCAGTTGTTTATGAATGCTGACGTGAAAGAAGTCTTAAACTTAGTCCAGATGAGAATGAAAGTTAAGAATAAGTTATGGGAGTCTGTTTTACAGGCTGGTTAGCACCATAAAGGAGAGTTTGGAGGTGTGTGACAAGTGCCTGGAATTAGAATGTTTGGCAGGTTCTGGGATTCTTCTGCTTGGTATTCCTCATAGCACTGTTGTCTTAAGTACTAGAACTCTGCCAAGATGTTCAGACTGTCTCTCATCCTCTCCCAGCAGAGTTTTGCAAACCTGGCATTTGAAGATTTTGAAAGATGTCAAGGCATGATGACAAGGAAAAGGCCTGGCAGTAGGTGTTGACAGTATAATCCATATCTAGACAGCCTGTGGAGTTGTTATCCACATAGTCTTGCAAAATGTCAGGCACCAGAAAGTCCTGGCCTTTATCACATTTGCTTGAATAAACATAGCATCTTGCATTCATCACTTTCCTAACAGCAAGCTTAGCTGCAAATGCAGACAGATGGAGAGCTTGCACATTTTTTGATTGTGGATTATCATTTCACTGTGAATAGATCACAGCTGGAAGATCACTACATGTTCCCTGTCTTTTGTTTTTTGTTTTTGCTTTGCTGCTTCTTGATAAAGTGACTGTGAGGAAAAAGATCAGAGGTGAAATGAACCTTTTGCCTCCCAGCCTCACTCCTTGCTTCTAAGCAAAATGGTCCACATACATACTAAGCAGCCCACAACCTTCCACCCAACCCAAGTGTAGGTATATTACAAACTGCTTTTTCAGTATGATTCATGCAAATGCTATAGAGGAAGACATTCGCTCAGTAACTGCGAGATAATGCTCATGGAGTGCTTTGTATGCGTGAAAGTGCTATATAAATGTTAAGCATTCCAAAACTGGGCCAGTGCTCAGTGTGCTGTGATGTCATATGACACTTGAAAGGCTTCCTTGAGACCAAGATTTATGCGCAGAGAGGTGCCTGCTTGCAGCCTGATTCACTGCCTTAAAGATGCCTCTTTCCAAACTGTCCCTGCTGGGCATGGTTAATACTGTTATGTCTTTGTATCAGCTATGGTTTTGGAGCTTAGCCATGCAGGAAAATTTACTTTAGAGAAAGCAAACCCACAATATTGACTCTTGCAGAGAAACTGAAGTGGCCTTCTCTAAAGGTGTGTGGTTTTTGCTCAATTTCAATGAGGAGTAACAATCCCCTGTTCATCCTGAGGGCTGAATTTCATTTTGAACATGTTCTTGGAAAGGGAGACTGCACTCCAAGGTGACAGAAAAATGCATGCCCCAGTTTCCTTTCAGATTTGTTCAGAAATAAGGATAAACCTCTCTGTATTTACTGAGATGCTGAGATTTTGGTAAAGGCAGCAGCAGTGGTGGGGAAGGTGCACATTTATGGCTGGCTGCATGTTGCCCTGCTGGATTTTGGCACAGAGGAAAACCTAGGGAGAAATGGCCTAAAGCATATTCAGGAAAAGCATTTTGGAAAAGAGATGTTTTAAAGCCCTGTAGGAAAACCTCAAGAACCCAAGTGTAATTCCAAAAGGAGTTTCAAATTTGTAGCGCCACCACTGAGATGTCTCATTTTGTGCATGCCGAACTAATCAATCTTGAATGGGCATGCAACTTGCACATCCAAAGCTGCTGTTCCTAGATAAACTAGTATGCTGTTTAGGACTGTAAAGATGGACAGCAGCACTTTGAACAAGGCCTGGGAGTGCATTGCTGCCAGAGTAATTAGTGCAAAATCAGTAAGAGGCAGCCCCATGTAGAACACATGACAGCTTGTGTCTGATACTTGTGTCTGAAGTAACTCTCATACTTGTGTCTGAAGCCTGGCCCAGTTGCCTCAGATAAGACCGAAGCTGGCGTACTTGACTTAGCAGGTAAAATCTCCTGGCCACTGATGTTACATGTTCCTCCCCATATTGCTATGAGTCTAGGAGGGCCTCTGAGTTATGAAATTGGTTCTTGAAGGAGAATGAAATCTTAATCAAAACATTTTAGATCTCCCCAATGACTGACTCCTTAGGCAGCAGTGTTTTCATTTTGTCTGCATTAAATTTCACCTTGTGTACTCCAATACAGCCTCTAGATAGCCGCTATACAATTGTATAAAAGAGAAGGAAAGCTGCATGCTCTCTATGTTGGTGACAGCAGAGCCCACTCTTTAGTTGACATGTCTCAATTATTTCATATAGGCATTAAAATACTAGGAAAAGGTGGAATAGACATCCCAAAAGCCATGAAGTGGGACAGAACCTTTTGGTAGGATCCTTTCAGGAAGAATTAGAACCACCTCCTAAGCCCAACTCAGCCCAGAAGGATAGGATGTCATGGCCGATGGTATCAGAAGTGAGAGATTGAGCAGGACTAGTGCTGTTGCACCCCCACCATCCCCAGTGCAAGACATCTGCTACAATGCCCAAGATTTCTCTGTCCCTAAACCAGGCTGAAATCTGTATTAGAATGGATCCAAATTATTTCTTCCAAAGCCACTTGGAATTCAGAAGCCATCCTTTCTCTAATTACCTAGAAAGAAAAGGTAGTGGGTGGACAATAGCTGCTCAGGTTCCTAGGGTCTAAGCCTTTTTCTTCAGCAAAGGTTGAATTAGCAACAGGGACTTCACTGCCTATGAAGTCCCAAGTCTTCAAACTTCTTTTTGCAGTCTTTACTAACTATATCAGGTAGAGATCCAAGCAACAGGTGATAGTTCTCAAACTTCCAAGTAGCTCTTATACTTTGCACAAAAGTAATGCAAGGAAAGTAATACAAGACGGTACTGTCCTGGCTATATCCATCTTTGGCTCTATTATAAGTAAGGCATTTAGACTATGAATATGAGTTATTTTATCCATAAAAATGGAAAGTTACTTGGCCAGGGAGTTTGCAAAGACACTGCCACATGATACCTTGGATTTCTCTCAAGGCATTTCCCCACCAGAACACCTCTGCTGGCTCACAGTGTGTGAATGCATGGTAGCAGTAAAGTAAGATGCCTTCACCATGGCCAACAAAGTAGATGGGTTCTCACCAGTGTTTGCTAGTACTCAGTTACCCTGTCCATTTAATAATGTTTAGTATTCATATAGCACTTTTCTATAGTTTGAATAGTTTCTATGTTCAAACTATTTCATATGTAGTAGTGTTCTTTTTTTATTTTAAGTCCCTGTTAGTCCAAGATGCCTTTTGTTTTTAAATGACAAATGAACCAGTTGACCAAATTTGTAACTGGATGACACTCAGTTGGTGTCATGAGATGGTGAGGAGCCAGATTATTAAGATGGCAGGACCAAATGCCTCTTCAGAATTTATTGGGTGGGTTGCCTTTGAGTCGTGATCTCCCAGCCTCAGTTCATCATCTCCAATAATGACCTAATTTGTGGAGATCGCGTGCCAGTTGCGCAAAGTGGAAACTTGTCTTTCATGCTAAGCCTTAAGGATAGTAGTGGGATACATTTTTATATTCTGCCAAAACAGGATTTGGGGAATTACTATGTATGCTGCATAAGTTTACAGCATTGGAGGTTTAGTGCCTGATTAACATTCAACATTTCTCCCCCTCCTTTAGACACCTGTTCACTGACTAGATTAAGGCTGGAAAGCCCATTGTAATGTAGGTCACTGAATAACAGATTATGCACCTCTGGAGGTTAGCACCAAAGGTCTGCAGATGGAATAATGCTCCATTTCCCACATGAGGTGACCTAAAAGCATGCATGTTCCTTCCTCTTACCTTGGACTTGCACCTTCTTTCTATACAATTGCACAGCAACTTTGAAATCAACATTTCCTCAACCACAGAAATGTGATAGAAGTGCAGCCTTTTATTTCTTGTGGATCTGACCTCCAAGTACAAAATGCACCTTTTCCAGTCTTCCACAAGCAGCAGTAAGGACCAAAGGACCTTCTCTAGTGAGAAGTCAGCCCATATAACCAAGGAGTTGCTTTAAGCAATTGCTCTGGTCTTTGGCCAGCTCGAACATTTGCATTGTAGTGCTGGTTTTG